GCACCCGGCCCGGGGAAGGGGCTGCTGGCGGATGGACAGACTGACGGCAGAGGCAGGAAACGAAGCCTGCCCATCACGCCTCGCTGCTCTGTAGAGAAGCACCCTCACCAGAGCACGTCAGAGGGCTCCGTGCTCCCTCGCCTACGCTCCTGCTTGCTTGCTGAGGGCAGGCGTGCACCAGTACACAGGGACCACTGTCCCCAGCCCACACCACAGTCCCCAGCACGCACCACAGATCCCAGCACGCACCGCAGCCCCCAGCACACCGCGCCAGCTGATGGAGTCCACTGAGCCTGCAAGGAAACGGTCGCAGTGCTTAATTACCCTCTGCGTTCAAACTGATTACTACTCTGAATTTGTCTGGTTCCAGCCTCCAACCAATGGATCTCGCTACGGTGTTTTTTCCTGCTAGATTAAAGCCATCCCCTATCAGAAATCTCTCCTCCACACAGAATGTCATAAATCTTGCTCTCTGCTGGCTATCCGCAGCGCATAAGGATTCGGTTACGAGGAAGAACGCTACTAATTTTCTTGTACTTTTTGTTAATTAACAACAGCTCCATCTCCCCAAGGACCTGCACCCTCCGAAGGCAGCCACGTCTGCCTGACAAGAGCTCAGAGGGCTCGGGAAGCACCAGGCTCAGCATGGGAATCTGCAGGGAGGTGAAGATGGCAATTTTTAATTGACAAATCCCTTTTTCAGGTTCTTATTCACCCATTTTGAGGAAGCTCCCTGGAAAGCTCAAACTTTGCTCAGATCTTGTGCACCGGGGTGCTAACGCAGATGCTCCAGAGCTGTTCATAGCTGACACCTGTGCTGCACAGCACAACCTCACCTGCAGCACCCTACGGCTGCACAATAACATAGGCTCTCCCTGACCTGCCCCCCCAGTGGGGCCAGGCAGCTGCTCTGCTGTGCCCAAGGACAAAGCCGTGTCCCCCGTGCCAGCCCACAGAAAGCCAGCGCCACGTGTGCCAGCTGCCATGGGAGCAGCAACCCCGTCCCCCTCACCCCAGCACTCACCGCAGCCTCCCAGCTGGAGGATGGGGGACCGCAGCTGGGAGGGGTGGGTACAGCCAGGCCGGCAGCGTCCCAGCTTGAGGATGGGGGACCACAGCTGGGGGGGGTGGGTACAGCCAGGCAGGGATGGGGGTACCCAAAGCTCTTCCGCATCTCCCTCCGAGCAGCCCCGGAAGAGATCCCTGCGTACCCGACACCTTGTCCCAGCCTGCCAGGCTCAGTGAGGGCACACCAGCCAGCGCACAGCCCCACGGACGAGGTGGGCACCAGCGCTCCTCAGTAACAATGCTCCTGAGCTACCCTCATCCCTTCCCAGAAGCTGTTATCAGGCACCATCCGCCACTTCACACCCTGCTTCCAGCCCGGGGTGGATGGACGCTGGCTGCAACAATATTAGTGCTCTTTGTTACTTTGGGCACATTAATGTCATTTGGAAAATTACTGGTTTGACACTACTGATTTAAACTCCAATAAGGGATATCCAGCCTCGCTGCAGAAGCCGAGCTTTCCTCATGAACAGCAGGAAAACGACGTGGGTCCCAGTGCTAAGCAGCTAATCGTAGTAAATTCAGCTGCATGCGTACAGGAGGGGATGGTAATGAGCCACAGCTGATTAAGAAGCTGTAGTTTCGAGGAAACATCCCGTTGCTATTTCAATGGGAGCCCATACGTCTCAGCCCATTTCTTTATCGCCAGTCCCGGTTTCACGAGGGTGCAGTTGCAGTTTACGGTGCTCGAGCAGGTTTTACTGGGTGCGCTTTATGTACTAGAGAGGGAAGATCTCCCCCAGCCTTCACCGGCACCACAGAATGGGATGGGAACCAGCTGGAGGGCGGAAGGTGGAGATCCCAGGCATGGTGGCACCGCAGGCAGCTCAGAGGGCCACGTGCCCCAGGTGCAACCCACCCTCCACGCACCCACCCCGGAGGGCACAGGGACAGCTGACCCCCACGGATCCCTGTCCCTGTGTCCCAGCAGGCAGCAGCCACCATCCCTGCGAATCCCCGCGGGAGCCGGCTCGCAGGACGTACCTCCTCCAGCAGACGCGGGTCCAGGCAGTCCCCGTCGTCATTGAACAGCGCGTCCCAGCTCTTCTCAGCACCCGGGCTGGCCTGGCTTGGGGTCCCGGCACCGGTCTGCTCTGCCTTTGGGGAGTCGCTGCGGAGACCCCCCTCTTCCTCCTCAACCCCCTGGCCACACTGCTGCTGCTGCGGCGAGCCCGTGTCCTCGCCTGCCGCCACCAGCTCCTGCAGGCAGAGGTGCTGCCCGCTCCCTCCACAGCGGGTACTGGGATACCCTCCCCACCGGGACGCCCGGCCCCAGCAGCACGCTCCTCCTTGCCAGGTGGGAGCCGGGATGGGCTGCCCACGTCCTGCCTCGGGGTGTTCTCCCCGGGGAGCACCGGCCTGTCACCCACACCACCCCTCGAGCACCTGGTTTCACAGCCAGCTCCTGGTACCTCTGAGCTGCTACCCACGGCAAGCTCAGCCGTGCCTCCCTGCCTCTCCTCTTCCTCTGCTGGCACCCCAGTGGCACAGCCCTCGCTCTGCTCTGCCAGGAGAAACCCCCCAGGCTCCCTTTCCTCCCCCTGGGCTTTTGGACCTGCAGCCTCCCACGTCAGTCCGGGCTTGCTGCCCCAGTTGCCCGTCTCTGCTGATGGCAGGACACGCTCTCCCGGGCTCCAAGAGAGGTCCCCGGCTGCATCCGGTGCGCTGTCCCCCAAATGCTCCGACACGTCACCAGGCCCTGTCTGACACGCCAGCGTTGGGCTAGCTGGGGGTGTTTGGCTAGTAGGGTCACCCCCAGCCTTAGGGGTAGCCTCCATGGCCCCAGGCTCCGCACTTGGTGTAGATGGAGGGTCAGGCTTGGTCCTCATCATCTGGCGTCCGCAACTGAGGTCCCCAAGTCCTTCTTCCTGGGATGCTTTGTCCTGCCCGTCCCAGGGCTGGGCAACAGCTGGGTCTGGGCATGGCTCCTGCACGATGGGTGATGCCCCCAGGCTCTCCGG